GCTATTCAGCCAAGAATAACAACTAAGTTAGCTAAAAAAAATTTAAAAAGCCCGGAACTTCTGACTGATATGACACAAACAATGTTAACCATTTGTACATTCTCTAACACACATATTTTAGATTCACAATTCATTTAAAAGCCTCTGATGGGTAAAAATAGTAAATATCATCATGTTCTCCTGTTTTTTTTTTTTACCCTAATAAAAGTTATAGGAGCATTAAATAGTTCATAAAAAAACTTCATTTATATGCTCATTATATTAGCATTAGCCGCGTTTATGCTAACAATTAACTACCCTAATAACAGCGTTCATTTCAATCCGACATTCAAATTAAAATATTGAATAATATGCAGTGTTTCCCCCAGAACGTGCACTCTATTTGTGGCGGCATATATATGCAAATTAATTTTCTGCCAGCAGGAGGTGCTTGTAGAGCGCAAGAGATCAGGTTTCCCCGGTAACGCTGTACACAAAGCAGCGCTCTGCTCACAAATGGTGCTCAGGCATTACAGGCAAGATTAAATGAAAATGACATCCATAATTTTCTGAAGACAGTCGTTTCCTTCAGAAATACATTGATATAAATACACCCGCACCAGGTTTCGACTTAGACACGTGCAGTGCTCATGTTTATTCAACGAAGTCAAAGCCTTTTGGAAAATCTATTTGTGGCTGTGAGTTTTGATATTGTGGCGGTCTGCCTCAAATAAATCAATGTATGGGAAACACAAATATTAAAAATTAAAATGAAACTTACCTGCTTGAACTATTTCATTTTATCTGGGTGTCTTTAAAGTGTTTTGTTCGTTTGGTGTGTTTCCTCGTTTTGATGTCGCCACGTCTAAGTGCTTTTGTGAAGAGAGCGCATCTGTGCACCTTTCGGATAGCGCATCAAGAACTGGGTTAACCGGGTACTTAAAGCATCGTTTATAATACTTTTTTTGTATACATTTTAATTCCTTTGTTTAACAGTTCTATCTGATTATTAGATAGACTTATCCATATTAGACAGAACTGAATGACGACAGCGAACAAGAGGGAGAATGTGAGCACTAGGCGCTGCCGTTCTCAGCGACGTCAAAATAAAAGTCCCGCCTTGAACGCATCGGCCAAACAGAAAAACTTATCGGCCAATGCCGATATTTGAAAAATGCCAAATATCGGCCGATATATACTAGGGCTGTGCGATTAATCGCGATTTGAGACGTTGCGATTTCCTAATTGCAATGCCTGCGATATGAACGGACGAGCCGCACTCACGCAGTCTGTCTCGTAATGCTCGTTTATACTCGCACCTGGCTTCGCACCGCAAGTCTTCACGAGCGCGTCTGGCAGTATGGATGAGGCTTGACGCACGCGCGCAACCTGTGTCGACTCACGCCTGGCTCTAACAGTTCTATCTGATTATTAGATAGACTTATCCATATTAGACAGAACTGAATGACGACAGCGAACAAGAGGGAGAATGTGAGCACTAGGCGCTGCCGTTCTCAGCGACGTCAAAATAAAAGTCCCGCCTTGAAAGCATCGGCCAAACAGAAAAACTTATCGGCCAATGCCGATATTTGAAAAATACCAAATATCGGCCGATATATACTAGGGCTGTGCGATTAATCGAAATCGAAATCGCGATTTGAGACGTTGCGATTTCCTAATTGCAATGCCTGCGATATGAACGGACGAGACGCACTCACGCAGTCTGTCTCGTAATGCTCGTTTATACTCACACCTGGCTTCGCACCGCAAGTCTTCACGAGCGCGTCTGGCAGTATGGATGAGGCTTGACGCACGCGCGCAACCTGTGTCGACTCACGCCTGGCTCCGCGTTTAAAACGAATGTAAATTCAGTCTAACTGCTTTGCTAATTTCACTTGAATGAAATGAAACATTCAGGACATTTTCCCCTTGTTCTTAAAATCCCAAATACTTAAAATGAATAAATCAGCCTATGTAACATATGTAATACTTTAATAATTGACTTAAGATATACAGTTCTTTATTTATAAAAAATAAACAAATATTTTCTGTGAAATTCAGTAATTAACTTAATTCTGTAAAAGTAGTTATACCATTATAATCTTGCCTGCTGAAAAAAAAAACAATAGAACCCCTCCCAAAACACAATAACAAATGTAATGGATTTCAGGGTTATAATAGGAATTGTATTGGTTTTAATGTAAACCATGATGGTGTCTATTTGATGGATTCTATTGGTGGGATGTAATCTGGCAGATGGCAACCAATAGAACAACAGTAATTCCTATTGGAATAATGCCCAAAACAAAAAGGAATTTTGTAATGGTTTAATGGAAACTATAAGAATTTCTGTGATGGTTTCTATTGTTTTTTTCAGCAGGGTAATGATACCCATACTGTGCTGCACATTATTGGCAATATTGAGCTGAAGCTTGACTTTGCAAATTTAAAATCGCAAATCAAATCGCAATCGCAATATCTGTAAAAAAAAAATCACAATTTGATATTTTCCCCCAAATCGCACAGCCCTAATATATACCACTATTCACATAAACCCTTTATAATAAATGTCATATTTACCTGTGCCCTTCAGCAAGAAGGAAATCCACAGAAATTGAATAAAGTTATCAAACACTAAATTCTAAATTAAAGATGAATCCTTAAAGCTACAAAAGTTATTGATTTGCTCTTTTTTGAAATGTTGTTCTTTCATTAACAGACATCGCAACAGCAGGGTTATTAGGTTATTTTGGCTGCTTTAAGAGCTGCCGCTGCTGAACATGAGACAGATCTGACACTAGGGGTGTGCCCTACATACATTTTAAACATACATTTTATATTCTAAAAAGTTTTTAAAATATGCTATATAATATATAAAAACTAATATATGTTAGTGGATTACCACTAGGGATGCTCCGATCCACCTTTTTCACCTCCAATACCGATTCCAATACCTAGGGTTCGGTATTGGCCGATACCGATACCTATCCGATACCAGTGAAGTTTTTTTCCCTCATTTAAATAAATGTAGAATTTATATATCTCTGTGTGTAGAACTGATAAGCATTCTTTCACAATCTACTAGATACAGACTACTTAATTATAAAGAAAAATAAAATAAACATATGAAAAAATATAGGCCTATGTATATTTATAATCTATGACAAAAATGTATCATAAACTAGGTTAGTGGATAATTTGGCAGCAAAAGTTATTCTAGAAAAATCAGTGCACAATAATTTTAGAAGTCCAAACATGTAGTGAAAAAATAATATTGCATCAGTCTTAATGGGCTTTTTTTAATGCATGTTGTGGGATCAGCTTGCATGGTTCTTATAATCATGTCTGATGTTGGACTAATCAAGACTTGTTTATTTCTTCATCTACGATGCTTTGATTGTGGTGCCTTTGGTCAGGGAGATCACAGCTGAGTCAGAGCGGGAGTCACAACAACTGCAGAATCACTGGTCTGAGGTCAGATACCTGGTCCGGTGCATTTACCGCCAGACTGGGACTCCACTGGCTGATGATCAGGATCAGCCTCTTGACCGGGACAAAGAGAGCATGAAGGAACTCGTTGACAGGTACTCTTGAGAATGGCATTCTCCTGAAAACCCCTGTATATTGTTATTTAAAAATGTATTTATAAAAAGGATTGAGCCACAAGCGATCTATCTAGCAGATTTTGGAAAAGGACACAAAATTGCACTGACATTAAGACAACCGTCAGAGTTGTTGAAAGATTCTAGCTTATTAGTGCTGAAAATTCAGCTTTGCCATCACAGGAATAAATTACATTTTAAAATATAATAAACTACAAAAGTATTATTTTAAATTGAAGTAATATTTCACGATATTTACTGTATGTTTGGTCAAATAAAGGCAGCCTTGGTGAGAATGAGAGACTTGTTTCTAAAATGTTTTCAAAATCTTACTGTCTCTGTACTTTTGAATGCTGGTATAAGTAATGTCTTACATAAAAAATTTATGAATAATGGGGTTTGCCACAAATACTATTTTCCATCACTTTGACGGACTGGGTTGTACAATTTCCAGAGTATTTTTTTTCTTTTTTTTCCGTAAGTGCTGTATTTCAGGCTCTTGACAATGGTGAAAATGACAACAAGCACTGCGCGGTCTTGTGGGTCTGCTGACCCTGTGTAATAAACTTTCACATTAATACAGGGTGTCCGCAGGTCCTTAAAACATCTTAAATAACGTTTTCCTAATATAAGGCCTTAAAAAGTCTTAAAATGTCTTAAATTCAGATTCGATGGGTCTTAAATATTTTTGCTCCCATTACCACTAAAATATCTTCAGTCTGACGGATCTAATGACTGTTTATAATCATTGGACAGACCGAAGATTTTTTCTTCCCTGTAAGTTACTGCGTCATCAGAGAGAATTGCAGTAAGTTAGTAGAATGCAGAATACAAGGTCGCGCTGAAGCTGAAGTCTCGAGACTTCAGAACAAATGAGCGTGACAGCACACATAAACTCAGAAGAAACACAGAGGTAAAATTCAAAATGTTTAGTTTATTCATAACATGGTATAGTTAAGTAACACCATGACAAGTGAGCTATTTTGCTCAATATTCTCACGACACAAAACAACATTCAAAACACCTACAGTGTGTATGCATTACGTGAAGTCTAGTGCGCGTGCGCATTTACAGTGCGCTCTTTCACTGCATGATTCAGTCTATTAAAATACATTCAAAATGATCACAAATTCAAGACATGGGGGCAGAAAATGTGTATATTTATACCTCTTCATATAGTTAATCAATTTAACACGGAAGAGTGCCTTTTTTTCTCCCAAAATTACCATATACAAATGTGATATAGATTTTTTACAACAGTTCAATAAACTAGAAATTTTATTAAGAGTCTTACATTTTAGACACCATATTGCCTGTTTTTGCACTATTTCGCCAACAAAAATAATTCCAAACAAAGCCACAGCAGCGTTTTGCGTCTTTGAGCAACATGACAGCTTTTCGTTCCTGAATGAATCACTTGTTTAAATGATTCGGTTCAGTCGCAATGACTCACTTATTAACAGTGACTTGCTGCCACCTACTGGCGGTTTTAATTTCACATTTAAAGTATATTTTCATTTTATTTAAATTATTTCAAATATCAGTATTCAATGTTTTATATTTTATATATGAAATCATTATTTATGCATTTGTAACTGCAGGTTAAATGCATTCATTTTCTGCATTAAACAGTGTGTAAACGCACTGCCAATTCAGGTGCAGCTTATGTCTGGATTGCAAAGATGAATTTTGTTGATACTGATTTCATTTGCTTGGTAACAGCCCAAATGTATTATTATTCTAATTCACTGATTAAATGTAAGAATTTGACTCAAAAGATAATGCACACTTATAGAAAAATGGCTTTATAAAGGTAAAAATGCCCATAAAAGGTAAAAAACAACTTAAACTTATTGGAAAAGATTCATTTCTATCTGACCACCACACAGAATATGAAGAATATCAAAAACTTTAGGAGTCAGCTGTCCACGAAAGTCCTTAAGATATGCATGATAACACACTCAATCAGTTGAATGAATGACTCAATGACTCACTCATTAAGTGACTTACAGCCACTTACTGGTAGTTTAGTTGAGAAGTATGTTGAAAAGTATGCATTTTTCTGCATATTTCTTATTTGTATATTCATAAATGCATTTAAAACATTCAATATGGGGTGCTGTGTGTACATTAATGAGGAAAAAAAATTAACTTAAATGATTTTAGCAAATAGCTGCAAAGGGGGTCTGAATACTTTCCGTACCCACTGTATCTCATAACATTATTTATTGCAATTGTAAGTATTGTTATTTGCAGTGTAAATTATTTAATCTGACTGGTAGCAGCCCTATGGTATATATTGAATTTATTGTAAGAATTTGACATGTAAGATGATGCATACATCTAAAAAGGTAAAAAAAATAGGCCTTTGTAAAGGTAAATATGCAGATTCAAGTATGTAAAAGCTGATAGAACACTGATGAAAATATTGCTTCAGAATAAATTGTTTGCTCCACCAAAAATCTCAGTGATGCAATTATTTTGCAGGGATATTTTGTATGTTTTCCATTACAGGTTTAGGTCTTAAATTTCATATAAGGTGGTATTAAAAAGGTCTTAAGTCTTAAATTGAACTTGTTCATGTCTGCAGAAACCCTGTAATAACTCCACTGGACGACACTTGGAATCTCTAATTTCTCTGCTCCCAAAGCCTCATCTCGCTTTCTCTTTATTTAGGCTTTGTGAGAAAGATCCCTACCAGTTGTACCAACGTCTGGAACAGCAGGCAAGGGAGTATGTCTTAGAGATGAAAGTGCGGCTACTCAAGCACCTGTCCACAGGCTCAAAGGCACCCGGTGCAGTGGCTCAAGGGCCTCCACAGGCCCATCAGTTCATCTCACTGCTGCTAGAGGAGTACAACACACTCTGCCAGGCGGCCCGCACCATCAGCAGCTTCCTGCTCACCCTGGTGTGTTGTTGCAACCCAGCTATATTATGCATACATTCTGGTGTTGTCAAAAGTACCGGTACTTCACTATCAAGTCGATACTTGCATTTTAAAAAAGTAACAATAACAGTCTTTCTGGAGCATCATTAATACTGAGTACATGGTCGATCCTGCTTTCAAACACTCGTTTACGGATATATGAATAATGAAATGAATAATGAAAATCTGTTTAAGCACCACCATCAGTATGGACTACTACTAGCACTGTTCTTCCTCTTCAGGAGAATGAACATTTGCAGAAGTTTCAAGTGACATGGGAGCTCCACAATAAGCACCTTTTTGAGAACTTGGTGTTCTCTGAACCCATCCTGCACAACAGTCTACCTGCCTTAGTGGCCCAGCTCAGGTATGGTCTTTGTTGAATCAGTTAAAACTTTATAATTCTTATAGCGCTCATCTGTTTGTATAGATCCCATTATTTTGTTTTTGTTGAATAGGCAGGGCACCACATCCCATGATTCATACGGTGAGGATATGTACCGTACACTGCTGGAGAGATACCACCAGCTCGACCAGGAGATGAGTGCAGTGGCTCTCGATTGGCTGGAGTGTGAGAAGAGGATTGATGACTATGTTGATGAGCAGGTATTTTTTTGTTGGCCAGTAAAGTGAATGTAGCCTTACTGAACTAATCATTGGTGGCTCTCTTGCATGATCTTGCATCTAATACCAGTTTTGCCTGTTTGTAGTTGCTTTTCAAGGTTGAAGGTCAGAATCTCACAAATCAAAGGGAAGAACCACATACGTCTTTAATTAATAGAAATGTAAGTTGTAGTTCAAGTCACTCATTAGGCATTATTAATCTTCATACATGATTTTGTCCTTTACAAAGCAGTGGAGGTAAATGATTTTCTCCTTTTTTTAATAAGATGTCTTTAAGAACCAAGCAGCGGATGCTCAAAGAAGATGCAGAGATATTCAAACAGAAAAGATTTTTTGAAGAGCAGGTAATATTTTCTCCAAACCAGATCTTATTAACCCTTTGTTTGTAATTATTGAGAATAAAAAAAGTTGTTGAGGCTAGTGTACCCAAATTAAAGCTTGCATGTCCAGTGCTTTCTTGACAATTAATGGAATTAAGATTAAATTGAATACTGTAGGGCTGGGTTTTGACACAAATTTCACGATTCGATTCTCATTCACAAGCTTTCAATTCGATTACCAATTCGATTCGATTCAATATCGATTATTTTGGATATATATCAGGTACAGTACATGCCAAATTTTCTCAAGGAAAAACTAAATCTCTCAACTAATTCTGTAAAATATACATGAGAGTCAGTTGGTACTACATTACTATAATATTGAAGGTTACTTCAATAACCTGAAGGAAACTTCAATTCCTTTTTTTGAAATATAAACATTTAAATTGTGGCTGTCATAAAAAACTTGATGGATTTATTCAAACATAAATGAAACATTGAAGAACAGTAAAAAATATAATGAATATGTTATATGGTGCATATATTAAGCAAAATGCCCCTCTCTACAGTTTATTTTTCTATCTGACTAATGAGTTTCCGTTGGTGAGGTCACCAAATATGTTTTTCTGAGGTAAATGGGACATTATGTGACATTGTTTACAAGCTGTTATATTGATGTCTTTGTGCGGCTGAAACAAAGATTGAGCGATTACATGAGACAGGATACGGATTGTAAAGTTGTACTCTTTCTTTTAACTTACCTTCGGATATTTAGCGATGTTTATTTTGTGCTGAAACTGGTATTAATGTGGAGGAGATGATCGGTTCACGTGCGCTACGCGCTGCCGCATCTGTTGAACTGAGGCGCTACAGCGATCTGTCACTCCACATTAAACAAAGCCAAAACGGCATTTATTTTGTATAACATATCTTTGAGTTTTTACAAAATTTTCCAAGAAAACACAACATCCTTCCCCACAACTTACCCCAAACAGGTTTAAAAAAAAATCCATAACTTCACACATCTAAAGCCTCTACAATATCTCCATTTTTAACAAAGTCCAAAACACCTCCCAGATATCAAAAAATTCTAAGGGTTTCTTTCTTACTACATATGTAAGTTTTTCAACATGTTAAGTTTTTCAGCCATAGTCCAAAGGAAGGGCTGCTGGTTTTTTTCCAGCACAGGGCACAAAACTGCATTTATTGTTTAAATTGTTTAATATTGCAATTCAATGGACAGAATTTGAAATCTGAGACTTTGTTTCATATTAAAAGTACCAAAGCACAATGCTTATTGCGATATATTGGATGGGAAGTGCCCTTCAGTGTTCCGTCCATTAACTGAAAACAGGCTAGACGTTCCGTAAAAATGAGAATCGATTAATATCGAGATCGATATTTTTTACCCAGCCCTAAATTACTGTATTTCTGATTAACATGAAAATTGCCCATTTAGTCACCAATTTCACAAAACCTTTACACTGTACCTTTAGATTCAGTTATCACTGTTAAAAAATGTATCACAAATATATTAAGCAACACAAATATATTAAATAGATGATAATAAGAAAAGTTTGTTATGCAGCAAATCAGAATATTAGAATAAAGGATCATGTGACACTGAAGACTGGAGTAATAACTGCTGAAAATTCAGCCTCACCATCACAAGAATAAATTGCATTGTAAAATATTAAAATCTGAAACAATCATATATATATATACACATATACAGTATATATACACGTATATATACACACACACACACACACACACACACATATATATGGATATATATATATATATATGGATGCACTGATGTATCTGCCGATTTTTTATTATTTTAAAGCCATCAGCATATCGGAAATAGCATGAAAAGGTCAGATACCGATGGTTTATTAATTAACTGCATGGAGACAACGAGTTGCATGTCTGGTGCATAATCTAATGTTTTTCTCTGGGCAAAATAATTAAATACTTGCCAAAACAAAATAAAATCTGTAGAAAATATAGTTTGTCAAATGGCATAGTACGGCCATATGCAAACGTGACGCTGACGCATCCAACGAGTGAAATGCCCGCTCTCAGCTGTAAATTCATCATAGGTAAGTCGTAATGGCAATGCACCGGCGTAAGAGTTTATCCGAGGATATGTCACAAACCGCCAAGCATTAGGCCTACATTTAAGTGAAAATGAATGGCAGGTAATATCAAAGACTATAGAATAAAAAAAGGGACTTTGGTAACATGCAGCTTTTTGTTTGAAACCAGTGTAGAACACGGATTCACACAAGGTCACATCACGCACCTGCAGCATTTCTGTAAATACAGTCTGTGTCGTTCAGTGTGGCCAGCGCCTCACTGCTGATATAGCCTATATGTGAAGGATGGTGTTTTACGTCGTTAATGCGAGTGAAGGACAAAACCTTTAGTTTATATAGTTATATTATTTAATATGGAAACATTTGAATTCGTGCAGAATGAGATAGGTAGGCTTCAGTTTCGTTTTTAAATTAATTATTTTTGGCTTGACGCTTATATTTAGCCTAAATACAACTTTAGAGGATTTGTTGTGGAGAGAAGGGAACTAAAATAGCCTAATTGTGTTTGTAATTTTGCTTTTATTTACCATTATTTTAGCCTACATTATTTCTGAATGCAATAATAAAATGCAACATACAGCCTACTAATTTAGGCTGTTATTTTTCCTCTCAAAATTAACGCTTACAGGAGTAGCATTTTTTTGTATCCATGCTGAAACATTTTTAAATATCTTGAAAAAATGTTTTTGTTTTTATTGCGTTGACAGTTTTTTCTTTTGTTTAATACATGTGGTCTTTGGTAAATCTAGAAAAGATGATGATGTATTGGCAATGACTAAGAGAGATCATTCAAGTAATTCTAATTTGTTGAGATGAGGTTTTTGTTAAATGTGAGCCAAAATCATCACAATTAAAAGAACCAAAGACTTAAACTACTTCAGTCTGTGCATTGAATTTATTTAATACACGAGTTTCACAATTTGAGTTGAATTACTGAAATAAATGAACTTTTCCACGACATTCTAATTTATTGAGATGCACCTGTGTGTGTGTGTGTATATATATATATATATATATAGCTGTAAAAGCAGGTGTTTACACAATTATTGTTTTAATATTGTGATTGCAGTTTCTACCGAACAGTAGAAAATCTCTGGGTGGTGACAGTAAGTTCACAGACACCGTGAAACAGATGCTTTCGTCCAGACTGAGTATCCCAGACTGTCCCAACTGCAACTACAGAAGGAGGTACTTATCAGATTCATTTAGTCATAATACATGTATAATATATTTGTAATAAGTTTGATTGGCAGGTCTTCCTTTATAGCGATACATTTTGGGAGCCACTTTTAGAAAGTGACAAGTGACAGAAAATACAAGTGAAGAAAAATGATAACCTTTTAGTGCCCTTTGAGTATCCTTACCCTACACCGTTGTATATTGGTAGCCTGTGTACTCATTGAGTTAATGTATTTACCTCCAGATGCACCTGTGACGACTGCAGCCTGTCTCACATTCTGACCTGTGGCATCATGGATGCTCCTATGGCAGAGGATCTGCATCTGAAGCTGCCCCTGCAGGCGGAGCCTCCCCGGGACTACTTGTCAGAGGTCCATCCCCCCAGCATGTCATCGGGAAGCTCAGGGTCCGGCTCAGCCCCAGGCTCCCCCATCACCTTCCAGCAGCACCCTCGTCTCATCCTGCCACAGGATGGCACCACCACATTGTGAGTTAAAACTCTTTTGTGCTTTTTGCTTCATATGAAATTAATCTGATTACTTAAACACTCATTTTCGATGTCGGTCCCATAAATATCTACCAATTTTTGTCTTTTATGAAAATAATGTTTATTACAAAAATGATTCTGCAAATGCGTATCTTTAACTACATGTTGCCATATTAACAATCAGTCAGTAACGATACTGAAGATTTGCATGAGCCTTAAGTAGGTCACATCACTGAGCGAGTTTACATGCACGTTCTTAAGCCGATTATGCTTAATAAGCCGATAACGCACGTGGTCATGTAAACGCGGTAACCTGTTTTCTTTTATCGGAGTAAGGTCATAAACGGCGTAAGCATAAACCGGTCGACACAGGTAGCTTTTTGCCTCTTACTCCGATTTTGCGTGACATGTAAACGCAATAACCTGCTTTCTGTCGGTTTATTGAAGTGCACATGTGTGATACGTGACAGGAACGCATCGTTAGTGCAGATTTAAGCACATCTACACAGAGCAAACATCTTGCAGTAAAGAAAGAAGGAAAGATATCACAAAAGCAGACTCTTTCATGACTCAGAAAATGATAAAAGTGTTCTCATCACGTGCAGCAGAAGTAGACGTGGTTCAGTCAAAACACTGCATTTATAACTGCATGAGGATAATATATGAGCTGTAAGTTTCACGCTGACATGTTGCAAGCTTTATTTAACATCACAACTGACAAATGTATGGAATACTCTGAGTCAGATAAGCAAATGATTATATTTCGATGTCACTACAGGGAAATAACCTGATTTAAGTCATGTAAACGCAGCTACTTGGGTTGTCAGGTTACTGATGTGCATGTAAATGGGGAAAACTGGTTATTTTATTAAGCTGATATTTGTGAGTTATCCGCTTACTGGTGTGCATGTAAACGTGCTCACAGACAGTAATGACAACTTGTAGTTTAGTAAGTGAGTGAAATGGTGATTTAGTAACTCCTCTGACTGATTTGATGAGCTCATTCACTGAAGGGCTAATTTGAACCGGTAACTCGTGTTTGTTTTTCTGTGAGGAAATAATTTTTCTCACCGCACTCAAGGAAAAGCAGCTTTATATATACATGAGATTTTTGTTTGTTTGTTTATGAAAGAAGGGTGTTATGGTCATCATTTATTTAATAAAAAATACAGTAATAATAAAGTTATGAAATATTACTGTTTTAAGTAGGCTACCTTTTCTATTTTAATATGTATTCATTTTAATATAAATATATATATGTTACCAACCCCAAACCTCTGCACTGTAGTGTATATAAATGCAAAATGCGGTCATTTGCAGGTATGGCAAAAAGTTAGTTTTTCCCTGTCTGTTTGCTTTATGGCTGCATTTTATAATAATTTTGTGAGTCAAGGGTTTTTACATGAATAATGCTAAAATGTAGACTTGGGAATTTTTTTTGTAAAGTGTAGTACTGGTAATAGTGTGGACAGTATTGCAGAATCAGATAAGAGTCAGATCAGGCAAGTTCCAATTATTATAGTCATTACTGTATTCATGATTTCAATGACTTCATAATGTACTTTCCTGCTGAGCTCCTTCAGTTTCTGTTTTTCATTAATGCAGTGTCATCAGTTTTTATAACATCACAACTCCAACGGCTGAGTCATTAGGTTTCTTTTACTTTGCTTTTTCTGCCCCAGCGATGATGAAGTGCCTCCGTTGTCTGCCATCTACCCTCTGAGTGGGTACGAAGACCCTGCGGTGGTGGCCCGCATTAATGGCATCCACAGTCAGCTCAGTGGAGGAGAAGAGAGCATGACCCTTAAAGATAAAGTAGGTGGCAGCTGATCATCTGTTGTTGCCGCCTACAGTATACAATAAACATTTGTCAACTGAAAGAAATTGACATTTGAATTTAGAAATTAAGTTACTTGGATGGTAATAAGCTCTCCTCTCTCATTCGCCCAGTCTTCACAGGGGACCAGCAGCAGTAGCAGTTCCTCTGAAGGTGATGAGGAGGAGAGGGAGAGTGGTGAGGAGCCTCCAGGCCAGAAGGTGTCACTCTCTGGAGGGAAAAATGACTGTCCGCCTCCGTCATACCCTTATTCACAGGTAGAGTTTAAAGGGGTCCTATTATGCTCTTTTACAATGTCTTGAATTTGTTTTGGGGGTGTACTAGAACATGCTCTCATGCTTGGTGGTTCGAAAAACGCATTATTTTTTACATAATTTACATTATTACAATACCTTTCTCCCCAGCCTGGCACAAACGGCTCGATTAGTTCTGGGTTTGATGAAGGCCCGCCTTCCGAAAAACGAAATGTGATGTGATTGGTTAGCTATCCCAGTGCGTTGTGATTGGGCGAACAGCTTAGACGGTGTTTCAGTACTGCCCCGCCCCTTGCCAAAGCAGCAAGTTCCGTCTGCTCCGGTTTAGACAAGGATGGCGTCAATATTGCCATATCAATTTGAGCCGGATTCAGACCCAGAGAATATTGAACAAGAGGATCGCGCAGAACCTTTGCACACACGGATATTGCAAGACATATTAGAGTGATAACGTTATAGTTGTTGTTTTTGTTATTGTTCTTGAAAGTACTTGAATTTCAGACATATGGATTCAAGGCCTGCAAAGTACTTGAAAACAAACATAAGTGCTTGAATTAAGTTTGAAATAAATTTTGTTTATGCAGGGATTAAAGTTTTCCATCGCTACGACTGATTTCCGTCAATTGGAGAAAAAAAAGTTTGGGGAAAAGAAACATGTAGCGCATTGTTGTTGTTGTTGTTGTTCTGCCGGCACACCAAAAATCATTCCCGGACACGGCTGCAGCTTCTCAGTGACAACATAGTGATGCCGCTCGCATCATTCACAGTCGGGTTATTAGCAGAGAACACAGAGCAAGACTTGAATTTCGGCCCGGGATTGTGGCTATTAATTACAATTGTACTCATTCCCGCAGGTTCCATACTTATAACACAATGACAGTTTACGGAACGTATCATTTGCACGTGCTTTTGAGTTTCGAGAACTCACTCGCACACGCTCATTTTCTGTGTGCCCACAGATCGCAATAAGGAGAGTGACCGCTTTTAATAGTTATTAAGGGAGTTTGCAAATGTGATATTGATTCAATACAACAGTTCAGTAAACAAGTACTGCCTGATTTTGCTTTATTTCTTTAACGAAAATAGTTCTAAATATAGTAACAGCTCAGCCACTTGGCATCTCTAAAAGCAAACACAGCTGAGTTTCATTCATTCAATGAAAGTGCGTTTTTGAAGTCAGTGATTCATGATTACCCATTCATAAAGACAGTCACTTGCTTCATTCCTGAATGAATCAGCCGTTCAAACGAATCAATTGAATGAATGATTCAGTGATAAAATCAGTGACTTGTCGCCACCTGCTGGCGGATTTAGTTTCATTTTTAGCGTATAAGTTCAGTTATTTAAATCATTTAATATATCTGTATTCAAAATGTTATATTTAAAACATTAATCTCCACATAAATATATTAATTTAATTGCATTCATGCCACCTCTGAGCCTCATTAAACGTCTGAAAATGTACCTGTGCCACCTCTACAAAATTATTTTTTTATTAATACTAATTTCATATGATTGGTAACCTATTTGTCTTATTCTACTTCTTATTATATTGTTTTAAATAGAATTTTTAAAAAGCTTATAAACATACATTTTTGAATTTGACATAGATGGAAAAGATGCCATTACAAAGGTAAAAAGAAAATACCCCTGTTAGTCACTTTGAGTCAAATGTCACCTCGTATTAGGAAGGCAAATTTTTGATCAGAATTTTTTATTATTGATTAGAAGGTGCTCCTAAATTTTTTAATTTAGGAGGACAAGCGTTTCTAATTACAAGAAGAAGAAAAAATGCTTTTAAACTGGGTGTGTGACGGGTATAGGGCTGGGTATCGTTCAAAAATTTTCGATACCGGTTCCTGAACGATACTTTTTTCGATACCAATTTTATGAAATCTATTTGAACAAGATTACATTATCTGAAAAAAAAACTTTGGTTTCATTTTTCAGCTTGTTGATGTTTCTACAGACGCAAAGACTCATCTCCTGAGCCACTGCACAAAGGAACTAAATGTAACTAACAAAAAATCAGTGCAAATAGTTTTAATAAAGCTCAAATAGTCTTCAGTTTACACATCTGTTAGCTACATTTACACTAGTGCGTGTTTGTTTTAAAACTCCTAGCTCAGACAGAATCGTAATTTCTATTCATTTTCCACTGATTTACTGATAAGCATTAGCAGTTTCTAGCGCTGTCTGCCTGTGCTCTCTCTTCCATGATCGCTGCTCTGACTCAGAGGTTATAATATATTTAATTTCAGCAACAATACATGACCAAAACACACACGGCAATCAGACGTTATTACAGAAAACTTGATGGTGGCTTAAAGTGAGTTTTGAGTAAAAGCGAAATATAAATCTTATTTATTGTCTTATTAAGGGGTTAAATTGGGACTTGTTATGTGTGTGTGTGGGGGGGGCTCTATGGTATCAAGCTTTTATATATATATATATATATTTACAGTGGGGCAAAAAAGTATTTAGTCAGCCACCGATTGTGCAAGTTCTCCCACTTAAAAAGATGAGAGAGGCCTGTAATTTTCATCATAGGTATACCTCAACTATGAGAGACAAAATGAGAAAAAAAAATCCAGAAAATCACATTGTAGGATTTTTAAAGAATTTATTTGCAAATTATGGTGGAAAATAAGTATTTGGTCAATAACAAAATTTCATCTCAATACTTTGTTATATACCCTTTGCTCCGTCATACCCTTATTCACAGGTAGAGTTTAAAGGGGTCCTATTATGCTCTTTTACAATGTCTTGAATTTGTTTTGGGGGTGTACTAGAACATGCTCTCATGCTTGGTGGTTCGAAAAACGCATTATTTTTTACATAATTTACATTATTACAATACCTTTCTCCCCAGCCTGGCACAAACGGCTCGATTAGTTCTGGGTTTGATGAAGGCCCGCCTTCCGAAAAACGAAATGTGATGTGATTGGTTAGCTATCCCAGTGCGTTGTGATTGGGCGAACAGCTTAGACGGTGTTTCAGTACTGCCCCGCCCCTTGCCAAAGCAGCAAGTTCCGTCTGCTCCGGTTTAGACAAGGATGGCGTCAATATTGCCATATCAATTTGAGCCGGATTCAGACCCAGAGAATATTGAACAAGAGGATCGCGCAGAACCTTTGCACACACGGATATTGCAAGACATATTAGAGTGATAACGTTATAGTTGTTGTTTTTGTTATTGTTCTTGAAAGTACTTGAATTTCAGACATATGGATTCAAGGCCTGCAAAGTACTTGAAAACAAACATAAGTGCTTGAATTAAGTTTGAAATAAATTTTGTTTATGCAGGGATTAAAGTTTTCCATCGCTACGACTGATTTCCGTCAATTGGAGAAAAAAAAGTTTGGGGAAAAGAAACATGTAGCGCATTGTTGTTGTTGTTGTTGTTCTGCCGGCACACCAAAAATCATTCCCGGACACGGCTGCAGCTTCTCAGTGACAACATAGTGATGCCGCTCGCATCATTCACAGTCGGGTTATTAGCAGAGAACACAGAGCAAGACTTGAATTTCGGCCCGGGATTGTGGCTATTAATTACAATTGTACTCATTCCCGCAGGTTCCATACTTATAACACAATGACAGTTTACGGAACGTATCATTTGCACGTGCTTTTGAGCTTCGAGAACTCACTCGCACACGCTCATTTTCTGTGTGCCCACAGATCGCAATAAGGAGAGTGACCGCTTTTAATAGTTATTAAGGGAGTTTGCAAATGTGATATTGATTCAATACAACAGTTCAGTAAACAAGTACTGCCTGATTTTGCTTTATTTCTTTAACGAAAATAGTTCTAAATATAGTAACAGCTCAGCCACTTGGCATCTCTAAAAGCAAACACAGCTGAGTTTCATTCATTCAATGAAAGTGCGTTTTTGAAGTCAGTGATTCATGATTACCCATTCATAAAGACAGTCACTTGCTTCATTCCTGAATGAATCAGCCGTTCAAACGAATCAATTGAATGAATGATTCAGTGATAAAATCAGTGACTTGTCGCCACCTGCTGGCGGATTTAGTTTCATTTTTAGCGTATAAGTTCAGTTATTTAAATCATTTAATATATCTGTATTCAAAATTTTATATTTAAAACATAAATCTCCACATAAATATATGAATTTAATTGCACTCATGCCACCTCGGAGCCTCATTAAACGTCTGAAAATGTACCTGTGCCACCTCTACAAAATTATTTTTTTATTAATACTAATTTCATATGATTGGTAACCTATTTGTCTTATTCTACTTCTTATTATATTGTTTTAAATAGAATTTTTAAAAAGCTTATAAACATACATTTTTGAATTTGACATAGATGGAAAAGATGCCATTACAAAGGTAAAAAGAAAATACCCCTGTTAGTCACTTTGAGTCAAATGTCACCTCGTATTAGGAAGGCAAATTTTTGATCAGAATTTTGATTAGAAGATTAGAAGGTGCTCCTAAATTTTTTAATTTAGGAGGACAAGCGTTTCTAATTACAAGAAGAAGAAAAAATGCTTTTAAACTGGGTGTGTGACGGGTATAGGGCTGGGTATCGTTCAAAAATTTTCGATACCGGTTCCTGAACGATACTTTTTTCGATACCAATTTTATGAAATCTATTTGAACAAGATTACATTATCTGAAAAAAAAACTTTGGTTTCATTTTTCAGCTTGTTGATGTTTCTACAGACGCAAAGACTCATCTCCTGAGCCACTGCACAAAGGAACTAAATGTAACTAACAAAAAATCAGTGCAAATAGTTTTAATAAAGCTCAAATAGTCTTCAGTTTACACATCTGTTAGCTACATTTACACTAGTGCGTGTTTGTTTTAAAACTCCTAGCTCAGACAGAATCGTAATTTCTATTCATTTTCCACTGATTTACTGATAAGCATTAGCAGTTTCTAGCGCTGTCTGCCTGTGCTCTCTCTTCCATGATCGCTGCTCTGACTCAGAGGTTATAATATATTTAATTTCAGCAACAATACATGACCAAAAC